ATTGGGGGTCCCTTGGTAGGTGTGGCGGCATCGGCGATTTAAACTGGAAGGATCAATATAAAGAGAAAGAAAGGGGGGAGAAAGAAAGAGAGAAGACACTGGAGAGAGAGAAAGGGACTGAACTCCTGCTTAGTGAGCAGAAGCCGCTTATTGAATGTTATCCCAGGGCTTTTATCCCCAAACTCTGCAAAGTCATCATCACAGGAAACAAAAGGTAGCATGTGCCTTTCACATGAACAGGTCCAGGTGCACAAAGGACACCCCCCACTCTCAAGCAAATGTTTTTTCATGCATAAGGAAGAACATGAGAAAGAACAACCATAAATTGTCTTTTTGTATCTTATGCTAGCTTAATATTCCCCAAACCAGTTTCTTATGTGCCCTTAATTGTATTACAACTACATCATCTTGAATTAACGTCACTCAATGTCTAAACCTGAAACCACCATGGTGAATTATTAACTTCTACTATTCTGTACTGATTCAAACTAGTTTTTATTAAAACAATTGCTGCTATGGTTACACTCTTCTAGCACCAGCTGGCCTAATTCAAACTTCACTGGCCCCCTAAATCAAACTGAACTAAAAACTTCTATAAAAAAAGGGTTACTTAAATTTTCTTTAATCTATATAAACTATTCTATAAGTTTCTAAAATCACATCAAGAGAAACTGTGACTTGCACTAAGGCTCCTCAATGTGACTCAAAGTTAGACTTAAATTGTTTAAAAGCAAAGACCATAAACCATGGAAAATGGGAACAATAGACTCCCAAGTTAGCTGTGTTCATTCCGGTTTCAGAGTCCTCTGTTAGAGCCAGCAGGATCCTTTCCTGGTTTCTTGTGCCAAGTGGAAAAGGAGGGAGGGAAAGGGGTCAGCAGCTCCCGAACACATCCTAGTGGTCTCAGGGTCCACAGCCCTCCCTGATCCCTAACACTCAGTGGGCATCCGTGGCTGGCTCCCAACATTGGGGTCCCGTGTGCCAGGGCCTTTCTCTTCCTGTCCAGGATGAGCCTAGAAATGCATGGACTCCATAGGCCCTGTCTGCGCCTTTCTGCAGGGTCACGTTGTGTGAGTGAGTGTGTGTTCTGCTCGTCCCCAGACTCTTCCTTTCTCTTCTCCTTTCTCCTGGTTTCTATTTGGCCTCTTCCAATTGGTTGGGTTGTTAGTCAGAGAAGCAAAGGTGTCTTTGAATCTGTTCTCTAGTGAGTGGCATTGGCTCGTGTTTAATATGAAACCAGCCTTGCATTCCTGGGATGAACGTCCTATGGTTGTGGTGTGCACGTATGTATAGCTGTGGCACGTGTGTGTACGCTCACGGGCACGTGTCTCTGGGTGACAGGGCAGTGTACCAAGAACAGTCCGAGGAACTCTAGAAAAGAAGCCCCAAGTGAGAGGCTCACAGTGCTATAAAGGATCACACACCCAAACAGTGTGCAGTTGGTAATAAGATAGAACTTAGATCCGCAGGACAGAGCAGAGAGTCCAGAATAGACCCTCACACCCGTGTCCTGTTGAAGAAGGTATGAAGCCCCTCTGTAGAGAAAGGAGAATTGTAGCCACAAATGTTCCTAGAAGGGCTGGACATGCATGTGTAATAACTGCAATCCACCTATGTCAAAAGGGTCCTGTTCACGGAGACATTTGAGGCATTCAATGACACCACTTTGTGTCTCCAGCGGCTCCACAAACAGAGGCAAGTGGGTACCAGGCAACAGTGACATCATGGGTGACAGGACAAGTGACAATGTGACTCTGTTCTGGTCAGCAGGACCTGGATTCAGCGTCCTCCACCTCAAACTGTCCACATGTGCCTGTGGGCGTGCACGTGACTGTGAGTGAATATGTGTGTGCGTGTGTTCTGTTCTTCAAACTGGGCCTTGCTCCACTCCCATATACACACAGACCCTTGTCATTGTCACCCCTGGGGCCATGGCCCCCATCAGAGCATCTACAGGTACACCTCAGTTTCTACCCTCCCCAGCCACATTGGTCCTGGGGACACAGACTGAGGAGGGCAAGGGGCAAGGGTCAGAGGATAGAGGCCCTCCCCTCCCTAGGTGGGACTCAGGTGTGTGTAAAGTGCTGGGTCAGCCTGGCCAGGCAGGAGTCAACATAGATTTTCACGTACTCCGGGAGGGACCCTCTGGGTGCTGTGACTAGTGCCCCCAGATGGAGGAAGGAGGCTCCAAGGCCAAGCCCCTGCCTGAGGTCACACAGGGATCAGCTGACCTGGTTCCCACTGAGCAAGCCCCCAGTAACCAGGTCCTCACTGACCATGCTCTGTTGCCCGGATGCCCACTGACCATGGCCCAATGACAAGGCCCCCACTGACCAGGACCCTGTAGACCCTCACAGGTCAGGACTCAAGAGACCAGACCCCCACAGAGCAGAGCCCTATAGGCCAGAACCCCACTGGCTAGACCCGATGTCCAAGCCCTGATAACTAGGTCCTCACTGACCAGATCCCCCCACACCAGGCCCCTGCTGATCAGGCCTACACATTCATGGCCCCCATGGACCAGCCTTCTGTGGAAGAGGCCCCCAACAAACAAGTCCCTGGACATGAGTTCCCACTGACCAGGCCCCAATGACTAGGCCTAGATCATGAGCCCCAGTGGCCAGTTTCCTACTGACCATTTCCCCAGTGACCAGGCCCCACAAACCAGACCCCTGAACCACCTTTCTTGCCAAAAGGTCAGAGAAATCCCAGGAGAGAGGCAAGTGGACTCACCTTTGGGATGTCAATTTTTGTTTCTCAGATGTCAGACAAGGGCCTGTGTGTCATCTTCACCTTTGTGACCACCGAAACTGAAATGGGGGGGACGCAAGGGAAACTTGTCCAGGTAGCTCCTGTCCCCTCAAAAGCTTTCCCATGGTCCCCCAAATGCCCCATCACCAGCCTCCTAATGGTGTCGACTTTTAAGCTTTAACCTCAGCCAGACACAGGCCACCATGGCCTGGAAACCTTTGTCAGGCACATGTCTATGGGAGTCACACCCCTGCTCAGGACTCCCCACTGGCTGACGCCCATATCCTTGGGACCCTGAAATTGTTGAGGACCACCCCCATGGCTCCCACAGGCACATGGAAACCACCTCAGTGTCCATCCAAGATGTATGAAGCCCATGGGTGCCTCCATACAAGGGTCTGCCATTCACCTTAAAAAGAAAGAGACCTGGTCGCGTGCAGTGGCTCAAGCCTATAATCCCAGCACTTTGGGAGGCTGAGGTGAGAGGATTGCCTGAGCCCACGGGTTCAAGAATAGCCTGGGCAACTTGGCGAGACCTCATCTCTACAATGAATCAAAAATTAGCTGAGCGTGGTAGCCCGTGACTATAGTTCAGGCTACTTGGAAGGCCAAGGCAGAAGGATCGCTGGAGCCCAGCAGGTCAACACTGGGATGACCATGAGCATGCCATTGCACTCCAGTCTGGGCAATGGAGTGAGACTCCAACTCAAAAAACATAAAATAAAATAAAATAAAAAATATAAAGACGAAGGAGATCTGCTATTTGAATAACAGGAATGAACATGAAAAAGAGTGTGCTAGTGAGAAGCCAGACACAGAGAGACACTTCTGCAGGATTCCACTGAGATGAAACCCCTACAGTAGTCATACTCAAGGAATAGTAAGTAAGGTGATGGGTGCCAGGGCCTGGGAAGGGAACAATGGGCATTGCTTTACAACCGGTGAAAATTCCAGTGATGGAAGATGAGTGACTTCTAGAGATTCACTGCCCAACATCGTGCTTATAGTTAACAGTGCTGTGTTGTACATTTAAAATTCCTACTTCCATTAGGAAATCCGTGTGTGTGTGTGTGTGTAGTGTAATGTATTTTCTACTGAGCAGTGTTCATTGTGTGGATGGACCACAGTTTGTCTGGCGTTCGCCTGTTAGAGAATATTTTGTTTGCTTTCCACTGTTGCCTAGTACACCTGGAGCTTCTAGAAGCATCTGTGTCCAGGTGTCTGTGTGGACATCAGCTCTTATTTCCTTAGGGAAATGCTGGGAGGTGGGCGTCACTGGATTTGTGGTCCATGTGTGTTTGACTTCCTAAGAAGTGGCCAAACTGCTGTTCAGTGTGGCTGTGAGTATTGCTTCCCAGCAGGATGTGTTCCATTCCAGGTATCCATGTCCACACCAGCACTCAGTGCTGATTTCTTTATATTCTATTATGTTCTGTCATGTTGTGCTGTGTGTGTTACATTTTGCTATGGTCTGTAATGTTGCTTTATACTGTGCCGTGTTTTGTTTTGGTGTGTTGTATTTTGTGCTGTGTGGTGGTGTGTTTTGCTGTGTCGTCTTGTGTTTGTGATATTGCATTGTGTTTATGTTGCATTCTATTATGTTTTGCTGTGCTTTGTTATATTGTGTTATCTTATGTTGTATTGTGTTATGTTGTGTTGTGTTATGCTATGCTATTTTATATTTTGTTTACCTGCAAGAGGGACTTTATAGGTATGATGAAGGCGCCTAACTAGCTGACCTTGATGACAGACATCCTGGGTTATCCAGGGAGGCCCAGCCTAATCACAAAAGCCTTGAGAAGCAGAGAGTTTCCTCCAGGTGGAGTCAAGAAGCAACCATAGAAGGAAAGTCAGATGCATGTGTGAGAGAAACGTGACCCACCATTGCTGGAAGGTGCTCCCTTGAGAGTCTGAGAGGGAGTGGGGGTGGCCATGGGCACTGCACTGGCTCTGGTCAACAGACAGCAAGGACGAGGACTTGAGCCAGGAGACCAAAAAGTGGGTAATCTCTACTCAGCCCCACCTATTATCCCACCTATACCATGAGAAAATGCCCACCCAAGTCTTCCTTCACTGGGCCATGTGCACCAGCTCCCACTTTGTCTGCTGCTTCTTCATGATCTGTGAAATCAGAGAATTTTTCAACTTCTTATTCATATTTTGATTTTAATAACTTTGGCATCTGTTCTGCTTTCCTGAAGATTTCTTCCAGGTTCCTCCCAGGAGGTTTCCAACGTTCAACATGCATTTCATGGCCTGGTCTGTTTTGCCAAGGTGTCTGGTGCCTTTAGAGCCACCAGACTCAGAGCAAGTCTGGGGTCCAGATCATAGGCTTTCTCGGCAATGCTTCTCCAAAGAAGAGCTTGGAGGGAATCTCCACAAACCAGGCCTGGCTCCCTGCCTGAGAGCAAGCAGTTTGGAGCATTTTTCCATGAGGAGAAGTTTCCACATGAGGAATAGTTGGCTTCTAAGTTTTCTCTGATTCCGAGGAAGTACCCTCCAGGGGCAGGGATTCCTCCTGCTCTTAGCCATGCCATCACTGAGGCTCCCCACTTCAGGTGGAAATCGGAACCCAGGAACATGTGGCAACCAAGCTCTGCGTGCTGGTTGCTGAAAAGTTCATTTGACTTCTCATGGGTCTCCCTCCCTGTGACAAAGGTTGCCAGGGGTTGAATCATGTTCCCAAAAGATGCTTGAAAACAAATTTATAGATGATACAATTTAGTCAGAATCTTCCATACAAGGCATCCTAACCACACATGTTAAGATGGACTAAAACATACGCTTGGTATTTCTGGACTGCTGTTAATTTTGCAACTGTATTCCAATAGACCATAGCAATGTTAAGAATGCATCTTTATAAGTGGATGCTAATCGATCAAGGAATGTTACTAATGAAACCATAGATTTAAACTTTTTGCTTTTAGAGATGGTGTCTTGTGCCAAGCGGGAGGGCAGTGGCGTGATCATAGCTCAATGCAACCTTGAACTCCTGGGCTCAAGTGATCCTCCCGCCTCAGCCTCCTAGAGTAGTTGGAACCACACGTGTCTGCCACCATGCCTGGCTTGGATTTAAACATTCTAAAGAGTCATTTAGTAAGTCTTTGTCCTTTGTTTTAAAGAACATAAACTAGTGTTTCTGTCATCCAAATCAGCATGATGCTATTCATGGTATGAAGTCTCTTATTCCATCGACCTGTGTACTGTAACATGGGATAGTGCAAGTTGTTTCCGTGATTTCCATCAATACAAAATAAGACTTAATTCTGAAAGAAAAGGAAATTGCAGTCCTAACCGTCTATTACCTGCGAATAGGACCTTATTTGGGAATAGGGTCTTTGAAGACGTGATCTAGTTAAGATAAGGTCCCTGGAGGGGGCCAATCCAATATGACTGGGGTACTTATACGAAGAGGGAAATTTGGACGCAGATACACAGGGGAGGAGGCAGGTGAAGACGGAGGCAGAGGTTGGAGTGATGGTGCCACCTGAGGCACCAGAAACTAGCTAAGGCAGGAAGGATCCTCCCCCAGAGCTTTCAAAGAGACCACAGCCCTGTTGGACTCTTGATTCAGACTTCCAGCCTCTAGAAGTATGAGGGGGAACAGTTCTGCTGTTTAAGCCACCTGGCTTGTGGCACTTTTTGATGGCAGCTCTGGGAAAGTAGGAGAGATGTCCAGCACATCACACCCCCAGGCCTCGCAGGCCAGATGACTGGGCTTGGCCAGGGTGGGGTCCCAGTCGGCACCCCTGCCCTTCAGCCCTCTCCCCTCTGGGACCCTGCACATCTTCTCCCTACTGCTGATCAGTCTGCTCGTGGTTCTGCTATGAGACCCCTCACAGTTTGATTTGACGTGAGATTCAATTGCGATTACGGCTAGTGGAACCATTTTAAAACCGGACAGACTCAGCTTCCTGCTTGAAATCTGCCCAGCCCCATCTGAATTGGGAACTCACATGACAACCTGACATCAGTGTTTGTTTTGCTTCTCTTTTTTTCCCCCCAAACCAATATAGCTGGATCTTCCAGGTAGAAGGAGCCTCCGAAGTCATCTCCAACCTTGACATTCCATACTTTTCTGCCAAGAAATCAGGAGAGACCAACTCAAAGGGAGAGACTTGCAGAGCTGCCCAAGGCAGGTCTTTTCCAAAGCTTTCGCCATCACTTCAGTAGAGGCCCCTTGAGCTCTTTACGCGTTAAGTAGAGAGGTGGCTAATGACCATGAAGGGCAAAGTGCATTTGCATATTGGATTATCTCATTTTACTCTGACATACCTCGAGATAGGCACAATTGCTAGCCCAGGTTGCTTTGGAGAAAACAAGAACTCTGCGGGCTTATGTGCTTTCTCCACGGTTTCACAGCTCATCATCAATGGGCGGGATTTGCAAACGGGACTCTCACTGTCAACTGCATGTGCAGTCCTCTCTGTGCAACGTACTGCCACCTCCTGCCTCTCACGTTGTGTCTCCCCTCGCACCTCTTGGTTGGCCAGCAGGGTGCTCTGAGACCACAGCTCCTGCTGCCATCCCTGGGAGGCCCCTTGTTTATCTCCAGCCTGGGTGCTGGAATCTTACCCCTGCAGTCTCTGCTATGATTCTTGCATGCCAGGACTTACAGAAGTCACTTCCTCAAATGTCCTGAAGCCTAATACCCATGTGGACTGACGCATTAGTTCAGGTTCTTATAGAGGAGCTAGCTGGAGAAGGCAAACTTAACTTCTCATCCCATTCTGAAATGGAGCTCTGTGGATTAGCAGTTTGTGAGAAAGCAAACAAAACCAGAAGGAAGCACAGAAATTCAGAGTGGGTGGAGCCCAGGCTGCTTTTTATAACTCTTGGATGTCAATCTAAAAGGATCCAGCAAGCCGCAAAACAGACTTCTCGCCCTCCTGTGTGACCTGAAAGGTAGTTTGGGTTCACACAGGAAAAGTGGACACCAGACACGGGAGGCTGAGGCCTGTGCTGCAAGGTTGTGTGGACAAGCCCCGTCCTTCCCTGAGCTCTTCCTGCAACCCGATTGTTTCACTTCTTCTCTTTCCTTCTCTCAACTTTTATTCTACAAGAGCTCACCAAATCAGTGTGTGACTGTGTAAAAAGTCCAGTGGAAAGAACACTCGGTTCCCTTCTCCATTCAATCCAGGGTGGCCACATCCCTCTGTGCCACCACAGTAGTCAGTGGGCAACATTCATTGCTGCACAGGGCATGGTTACTGCCAATACAGGTCTGAACGTCTTACCTCCTTCCCCAGACTCAGGGCAGGGGCTGAATCTCACTGTAAACTGAGACTAATAAATACTGGGAACCTTCCATCAGTTTTTTCTTCTGAATCAGCAAGATGGTACAAAACAATTACCAGAGTACCCAGCTGTAGAAAGAGCCTCTAATAGTTCATTTGCAATAATAATTCCTGTTCAGTGGAGATCTTTAGCTTTGCAGAAGAAACTTTTTTTTTGAGTTGGAGTCTCACTCTGTCGCCCAGACTGGAGTGCAGTGGACGCTCCCGGCCACCGCAGCCTTGACCTGCTGGGCTCCAGCGATCCTTCCACCTTAGCCTTCAAAGTAGCCAGAATTACAGGCATGCGCTACCACGCCCGGCTGATTTTTTGACTTATTGTATAGATGAGGTCTCGCTGCCCAGGCAGGTCTCGAACCCGCGGGCTCAGGCAATCCACTCACCTCAGCCTCCCAAAGGCGCGGGATTGCAGGCTGAGCCACCGAGCCCGGCTGCAAAAGAAACTTTAATTTGACAGTATCACGTAAAGCCACCTTAAGCTGCCAGAGTCACATAAACTACACGTGGCAGTCTGCTGGTCCATGACAGACAGTTTTATCTAGTTGGAAAGGAAGGAGTGTCCAGCCTGGGGTACGTGACCCCTAAATATTTGCTGAACGATGGATGATTTGACGCTTGAATAACCCCAGCAAAGCCCATGGCCGTGCTGGTGAATGTGTAACTGGGAGAAACTCTCTGTAGATGTGGTTGGTCTTTTCCTAACTATGGTCATGTGATGAGAGGAGATGACGATGACAGAGATGAGGAAGGGATGTCTGGGCTGGAGACAGAAAGCTTTGTCACCTGTCACCTCAGTTCTGGGATTCTGAATGGTGACGGGGGTCTGTGTACACAGGACATTTAAAAGCAAAAGAAACATCCGGCTTTGGGCTTCCACCCGAACTGGCTCCCTGCCCCACCCTCCTGTAGGCCCAGGACACAGGCTGACTTGTGGCCAGGGTGCAGGGAAGGTCACCAGCCACAGATCCTCTGCCAGTCTGGCTGAGGCAAGATCATTTCCCCTGGTCTCCACTGTCACAACACGGGCTGTGTGACAGTGGGGCCAGCCCGTCCACAGGCAAAGCACTGGTGTTCCGCGTGGGTTTAGGTTATTCCTAGTACATCTTATTGATGATGTGTAGTTCTCAATAGGGCAGTGCTGTCTTTTTCAATGTATCTCAGCATTTCATGAATCGTCCTACTTCTGATAAAAATAGGTGATTACTTTCAACACATCTTAGACGTAGTGTTACGTACTTTACGATGACCACCCTAGGAAGACTCGTGACCACCCCAAGCTACGGACAAGGGACCCAAGGTCCAAAGAGGTAGCTTCACATGCCGAGGTCCCAAGCCTCAGGTAGGATGGCAAGGACGGGCTTGATGCATCTCGGCTATTTTACTTGTTCCAAGACTTTTGTGCAGTGCTCTTTCTGGCTTGTGCTACATCAGTTAGAACTGCAGTCAGCTGCTGTTAACAGAGGCCAGAAAGGACTTAGACAAGTGAGAAGTTTGTTTTATTTTTTCATAAAATCTTCTGGAGGCAGGGCATCCAGAACAATCATAACAACTTGGGGGCTCCTTGGGTCCTGGAGTGCCACTCTCCTCTGGGCATGCTGTCCCCACTGGATGACTCCCACCCTCTCAGTTTTCTCGTGGGCCAAGGTGGCTGCTGGGGATCCAGTTCTTGAATTTCAGAGCAGAAGGAAGCCAGAGCTCTGTCCACTTCTTTCCTTAAACAATTTTTTTTTATTTTAAAGATGTGGGGTATAATTCAGGGCTAGGTTCACTTCTTAAGGAGCTACTTGGAATCCTTGTTCAGCAAACTCCACCTACGTCTCCTTCATCAGGCCTGAGTACCACACGGTTCTGAGCTGTATGGGATGCCATAGTGCAGCCTCTCACGTGGCCTCCTGTCTCCCACTTGGGGTTGTGATTCCTTTCCTAAGGAAGAAAAGAGTGGGTTGAGGAAGGGCAGCCAGCAGCCTCGGCTACCTGAGCCACTTGTGTTTGGTGGCTTCTGCACGTGCACTCTTCTGAGCTTATTTCCAACGGAGCATTTCTGTCCCTTCTAAGTGGCCTTTATAAAGTCACTGGAAGTCTGCAAGTTGGAATTGTGGTAGGGCCTAAATTCGAAAAATCGTAAGGTGTTTGTTATACTTGCTTTCCTTTCTCTGTGTCCCTTTTCCGCCTCAAGGCGTGGTCACTGGCACACAGTCTTTTCAATAGATGGTAGTCACTCACAATATCTTCACCTCCTGGCCCCCAGGCTATGTGCAAGACTGATGAGCCTATTCTCTTTTAAAGAATGATGATCTTTAGGTCATGCTGGCCTCCTTGATGGTGTATTCTCCTGCATGCATAGTTAAACGATAACCTGCCATTTCGCAGCGTGTTGCTTTTCTAGAATTGCTTACTGCTCAGGAGTCATGTAACTGTGGTCACAGGATTTGTAACTTCCCCACTTACCCCGTAGGTGACATCATATTGTAAAACCTGAGACTGGTCTTTGAGATATTTGCTGACTTTGCATTTTGGTGGACTAACAGACACCAACCGAATCAGAGGCCTACACCAAGGAACTGAGTTGACCTGTGGCCTCAACCCAGGTCAACATACAAAGACAGTTTCTATATCCCTATGACTTCATTGCCAACCAGTCAGCAGTACCCATTCCCTAGCCCCCTGCCCACCAAGTTAGCCTTAAAATTCCTAGCCTCCAAATTCTCAGGAAGGCAGATTTGATAAATATCTTCCATCTCCTTCTGGCTTCCTGCAATTATTAAACACTTTCTCGGCTGCAACACCTGCTGTCTCAATGTATTGGCTTTTTCTATGCAGCAGGTGAGAAGAATGCTGTCAGCAGGCAACACTTTCCCCACCCTGGTGTCACATGCCTTCCCAGTTCTCACTAGGTAAGGTGTTTTCCCGGGATTGGGGGAGTGAAGACAGGAAGCAAAACAAGTGTGTGAACCTCTTTTTCCAGGACATCTTTTCACCATGAGCTGGCAAAACATTGGAAGTATTCTGGTCCCTGGGGCCTTCTCTAGGACGGATATGGCAGGCAGTCCAGATTCCAAGCAGGAGGGGTGCCCACTGCTGTCATTGCTGAGATGTCTCATATTGCATTCTTTCTTTTTTTAAACTGCCACCACTTTTCTTCTATTTTGAAACTTCCAATCTTGTAGAAAAGTTATAAAAACAGCACAATGTGTGCCTAGATATCATCCTCCCACTTCTCCAGGTGTTAACATGTCACTGCATTTGCATTCTCTTCTCTCTCTGCACACAGATGCTTTTTTTTCTTTTTACTGAATCATCTGACATTTAAGTTGCAGACGTCTTGTCATTTTATCCACAAATACTTCAGCCTTTATCTATTAAGAGCAAAGACATTATCCTATAGAACTGTAATGCCACAATCACACCCTATTTCACAATAGTACTATACTATTAACACACAGTCTATGTTAATATTTTTCCAATCGCCCTGAAAAATGACCTTTTTTCTAAGCCAGGATTCAATCAAGGAAAACAGAGTACGTTTAAACTGCCATGTTTCCTTCAGGGCAACCTCTGTCCCTTGCCTTTTTATGTCCTTCCCAGCATTGATATTTGTGAAGAATCTGGGCAGTTGTTCGTCCTGTGAAATGTCTCGTTAGTTGTCCCATGAAGTGTCTCACAATCTGGATTAGTCTGACAACTCACAATTCAATTCAGTCAGACAGTCTTGGGAAAATGCTTCACAGCTGACAGTACACACATCATGTTGCAAACACAGGAAGGGGGTACGGCATCCTCCTAACTGGTTCTGCTGTTAGTGTTACTACGTTTGAGCATCTCACTAAGGTGATGTCCTCCCAAACCCTTCTGCTGCAGAGGCATTCTTGTTCTCCTCTTAATGAACAGCAACCTGTGGAGTGAGTCTTTGAATCTCTGGCACCCCAAAAACCTTTTGACTCAGAGGCTTTGACGGCCGATGAGAATTCTACCCTGACTCGATGATTGCATTCGTGGTTGCAAAATGGCCACTGCTGATGTGTATTGTGTGAAATGATACCTTGCAAAGTAAATCCCGTCTCCTCACCGCTTTGCATTTTCCTTTCGGAACCATTTCAGAAGGGCACCTGCCTGACTCTGCCTGGTCATGGCTCAGAACACAGAGCCTGAACTTCCCTGCTCCATCCCTGAACAAGAGCACATACAAGCACACTGGCTTCAGAAGTGCACAGAGAGCTACGGCCTATACAGGCCAGGGCTGCCCGGCCTTTAGAGTGCCCCGTCCCATAGCAGATCAAACTCCACATCAAGAAGTGTCTATTTCCCCAAAGTCAGTTCCGCCCTGGAGGCAGCCTTAGGCACACCAAGAAAGGAGAGGGCACATGGGGCCCTGGCAATGAACTCCTGGCTTTACTGTGAACCAATACTGGGGCAGCACCGAGTTACAAGGACTGGCAGCCCCAGGCGCTGGCTTCCCTGACCCTGTGAGTGCCACTTCTTTCTGTCAACAGTTGCTTGGGGCCTAAATGTTGAGAAGCAGCAGTCCCAGTCCCAGCCAGGCCACCTCAGTCAGACCATGCAGGGAGGGTTAGGAACCGGTATGTTGACAAGCTCTCCAGGTGGTCTCCTGGGCAGCTGGACAGGAACCCTTGCTTAGAAAAGACCCTCTGCAGCTCCACAAGGGGACTGTCCCATGGACACACAATGGCAGATGTTGGTGATGAGTCTGTCTCATTACGGGAAAGCCAGCAACAAACCCCCAGAGGTGTGGAACGAGGGTAGAGGCGTTCAGCCTAAACAGGTCTCTTGTACCCTAAACTTGCAATTTACCCAAGGCTTTATAAAAAGTCATGGTACCTAGAGAAGCAACCAGAATCTGTGGTTCTCCAAATTTAGTCTCCACCAGAAATACCTGGGAACATTGCCCCCAAGGATTCTGAGTCGGGATCTCCAGTGGCACCCAGGATTATGATTGTGCAGCCAGCTCTCCAGGTGCCTCAGAGCCCCTGGCCTGGATGCCACTCTGCACTTACCTAGGACAGTCAAGGAGCAAAAGAGGCGGGAAGGAGTGCTTTGGCCTCCATCCGAGGGCACCCACAAAACCAAACCGGCAGGATCTGAGCTCACACGGGAAATGCTTCTGAGTTGCCAACCACACAGAAACGTTCAGATGACACAAAAGAGACTCTCCGTGAATGCACTCTATTTTGCACCTCATGGCACCGGAGACTCCAGGCAGGCTGAGCCAGATGAAGGCTCCCACACAGCCTCACCACAGGGTCTATGTCAGCAGACCCCGGGGGGCTCCCTGGGGGATTGCAGGCCATCTGAACTTAATGGTATCTCTGTCAATGCCCTACCTGATTCCAACTCCCCTTCCTCTCTGACAGTTCTTCCTCTCACTCTGCTGCTCAGTCAGGACTAACTGTATGTACCTATAGCCCCCGAGACAGAAGACTAGGACCCCAGAGCAGGGAGAAGGATGGTGCCAGTTACAGCAGTCTGTATCAAGGTGTGAGGTCAGAACAGTGCAGGACGCTGGCTTGCTTTTGCAGGGCAAGTGGCCTAGGTGGCTTCCCACCCAGAATGTAGCAGGAATCTTTAGAGAGAGATAGGACACTGAGGCTGCTTTGCCAGGAAATAGCGTTTATTCATGCCCGCACCGGCTCAATGGATTCACATCCAAAGGTTGAGCCCCAAGCGTGTGTATGTGGGGGGGATGATAATTGCCTTTTATACAATTTCAGCTTCTTTGTCCCCCAATAAGGCTTACATATTAGTAACATACTGGCTAATTGGGTATTTCATAGCTCAAGTTTACAGCAGAGTTACACTTGCACACTACAGATTGGGGCCACATTCCTTTCTAATATGTATTATCCAAGAAAGTTCTTATGGTGCTAGAAGAACTCTTTCGTTATCCTTGGAAGTCTTTTATTTTATTGTACTAAGGGTAGGGGCTACCCTGTCCTGTGAAGACCTTCACCTTATGAGGCTTGGGGAAGGGCTTCCTGCCTCAATCCCCCCTTTGATGTTCGAACCCCTTTCTAGAGTTATAGAACATCACTCTGGTTTAGGGATTTGCACTTCCATAACAGCATTTCATGTGCTGCTGTTTCTCTTTCAACCATGGCCTCCATGAAGCTGGAGACAGACCTTATAACTAAGGGAGCTAGACATGGAAGGATTAGACAAATTCCCAACATCATGAGTACAATGGCTATGGGCATTTTAAATCCTCCAAAAGTTAAGAGCCAACCTCCAAACGGTTTTTCGGGGTCCCAACCTTTCCAGGTTTGGATTGGGACATGAGCAAGCTTTTTTATCTGATCAGTGATTTCCTCTATGACCTTTCCCTTATCCTCTAGTTGCAAGCAGCAGTTGCTTAAGTTAAACTTTCCACAAACCCCTCCTTCAGAAGCAAGCAGGTCATCTAAAGCTAAGCGGTTTTGATAAATGGCATTGTGCATCTTAGTTTGCTGTTTGGCCAATATGCTAAGGGCCTTTGCAGTTTTATTAGTTATAATTTCAGTACCCGCCTATAATCAAATTATGTGGTGTAGCATGTAAATGGGGGTCCGATAGTCCCAAGATCCATTCTGTGCCCAGTTAGCTGGGCCATAGTATTGGATAATACTCTCCAGGGGGCATTCATTATCTTTCCAGTCTCCAATTTGTAGAGCATGTCGCTTTCTTTGGGAGTTCCAGGTTTTATATATTTGGACCCTCAATTGTTTTTCCTTTGCAAGTGGGAGTAGGGAAAAGGAAGGCCGGATAGACCCAAACACACAAGCTCCTATCCACTCAGAAGGAAGTACAGTGTAGGCTGTTTTTTACAGATCCAATATAGTCCATTTGGGATCTGCCATCTGATGTTTGTGTCAATAGTATTCCATGCCTGCTGGAGGCATGGGAAGTCAGACAAAGGGTGAGGATTTGGTTCAGGGTAGTCTGGGGGCCCCTACCACTGAGTTTTGCTAGTTGTGGCATTATAATACCTTTGGCCTAGGCATGTCATATTTCTGATAGGAGTGCTAAACGTCATTCCCCGTTGGACAAGGCAATTTTCTTTTATATAATTGAGGTTTTAAATAGCCAAATTTCATTGGCAGGACTGGGATACCCTGTTTCATTGTGGAGCTTGTGGGGTTCCAGTTTTCTAGCTTCCCATGATCTCCTATATTTGTTTCCCCACATACATAACAAGAGGAGATCTTTAGAGGCTGAGCAATAGTTCCTATCAAAGTTAGGAACAGATTTCTAGTTCTAACAGAGAGGGGAGGGCGACTACTTTCTATTTTTCCATAAGGCCTCATGGGAGGAGGCTTGGAGTGGGATTGTGACTCTTTTGACATATAGTAGGGCTCTAGAGTCAAGACCTCACCCATGGATACATATGCCAAGCTGACGGCCTGTTTTTCATCCCAGATTTTTTAGGTTAAAAATGATAAAATTATGGGGATTGCAGGCTCCTAATTTGCAATTAGAGGTGGCAACACCCTTTTGAAGGAATGCAACTTTACCTCGACCTCTCCAAGTGGCCTATGATACACAGTCCCAATGAGGAAAAAAGAATTCAGATAAACTATAACATGGGGACCACATTCCATTTGCAGGCTGTTCATATATATACTTATCATTGCACCTATACTCCTTCTCCTGGGCTAGGCTTCCATATGATTTAGTACCAGTACTGTGGATTACAGCATACTAGGTTTCATTCATGGCTGAGCAGGTGTCAAAGAATACAGACACCACTTGGTGGGGATTGGTGATTAGGGGTTGGTTAATTAAATACCCTTTCTCCTTGGTGCAACGAACCTCTAGCCATTCTTTACTCAGGAGGTGTTGTGGGTTGTAGCAGGCGTACTGATTTTTTGCTGACAGATAGAATAGATAGTCTTATCATGCCTGCAGGTCCCTGAAATAGTTCCCCGGCAAGAGAAATAGGCTTGGTAAAGGAGGGTCGAGGTAACTCCTTGACCTGACCTGGTTGTGTAATTACATGGGTCACATGAAGCATAGGGCTTTTAAATTACAAAGGGGAGCCAGATCAGTAACAATAGCTAATGGTTATACATCCTGTCCAAAAGAGATAAGAGTGCTAACAGTAACCTCTCACCAGGGGTCCCACTGTCTGGAGCAACTGATGCCAAACCTGTAGTGAAACACAAGGCAAGAATTACAGCAAAAAACAACAGCAAGGGATGACACTGCATTACACTAAAAACACAGTCCGTTTGTTTGTTTGATGGTCGATTCCTCAAGCTTCTGCCGTGCGTAGATTAGTCAGCTTCTGGAGTGACCAAAGCAGGACTGCAGTCTTCTAAGGTCCTGGGGTTGTGGCCTCAGAGAGTGAGCTTCCTGGGTGCTGATGGATTAGCAGTGCACTCTCAATCTCGGAAGACTGGGTTTACTCTGCTGTGATGAATCCAGGGGTCCATCTCAGCAACCTTTACTGCAGTAGGAGTGGACAAAATAACCGTGAACAAACCTCTCCAAAGGGGCTTTAGGGGCTGGATGTTCCATTCCTTTACTCATACATCATCCCCTGGCTTAAAGGAGTGAGCATCTATGGTTATGCTCTCAGGTAGCCGCTCTCTAACCCAATGATGTATAGCGGTAAGGGCTGAGCCTAGAGCCTGCATCTGTTGTCTTAGAGTAAGATTACCCACCTCTTTTCAATCTCCTTTTATATCTTTAACAATGGGGGAAGGACATCGTAAGGAATTTCAAAAGGGGAAAACCCTGTCTCCTTAGTGGGGCTAGACCTAATTCTTAGCAAAGCAATTGGCAATAGCTGGTACCATTGCAAGTGAGTTTTCTGACACAGTTTACTCAGTTGCGGTTTTAGAGTTCAGTTTATCTGTCCCACTTTTCTGGAGCTCTGGGGGCAATAGGCAGTGTGTAATTTCCATGTGATTCCTAAGCCCTTTACATTAATTATATTACATTGATTATATTGCCTCAGCCACAAATGCCAGCCCATTGTCTGATCCTATAGTGATTGGGATTCCGAATCAGGGAATGATTTCTTTTAGAAGTTGCCATCCCCCTTCATGTGCCTTTTCGGTGCAGGTAGGAAAGGCCTCTACCCAACCCGAGAAAGGACACAAAAACTAACAGATATTTACAGCCTCGGACCCAGGGAAGCTCAGTGAAGTTCACAATTATGTTTTCAAATGGGGCCCCTCCAACACTCTGCACTCCCAGAGAGATCCTAGGCCCCCTGCCACGGGTTATTGCTTGCACATACTTCACATTATTCACATACTGCATGGTCTATACTGGAGAGTTGGGGAACATAGAACTGCTGGCATAACGTAGTCTCGAGAGTTGTCCGGCCTGTATGAGTTTCTTGATGAAAATGCTTGACAAAGGTTGAGGCCAAAGTCTCAGGGACAGCAACTTGCCTGTTTTAAAATTTCCACCATACACCTGGGAGATAATTCCCATCTTCAGTTTTGAACGAAGTTTGCTCATGCTGTGAATCATCAGGGTCCCATTCTGCCAATGGACTTGGGAACAATGTGGCTGCCAAAGTTGTTGGTGCCATTGTTCCTTGGGAGGCTGCAAGCTTTGCCTCCACCTTCTGGTTTCCTTGAGTAACCATTGTGTCTCCCCTCTGGCATCCCCTGCAATGCATGACGGCCACCTTTTTAGGGGCCTATACAGCATCTAAGAGTTCAAGGATTTCTTTACCATATTTTTTGTCCTTGCCTCCTGAGTTGATTAAGCCCTTCTCCTTATATAAAGCCCCGTGTGCATGGGGAGCGGTGAAGGCCTATTTAGAGTCAGTGTATATATTGATATTTATTCCTGTCACTAGCTGGAGGGCTCAGGTTAGTGCAATTAATTATGCCTTTTGTGCTGAAGTCCCTTTTGGCAGAGGCTTTGCCTCGATGGTGGACTGCAGGGTTATTGCAGAGTATCCTGCAAACCGTTCTCCATCCCTTATGAAGTTGCTGCCTTCAGTGAAATATTCCACATCGGGATTCCTGAGAGGCTGGTCTGTCAAGTCTGGTTGGCTGAAGAACACTTCGTCCATGACCTTGGTGCAGTCATGACAGGGCTGATGCAGCTTGGTAGGCAGCAAGGTAGCAGGGTTGAGAGTCTGCACCACTTCCAAGTGGATGCGTGGATTTTCACATAACATTCCCTGGGATTTGATCATTTGAGTGTTAGTCAACCAGGATTGCCCTTTATATTCCATTAATGTTAACACCAAGTGTGGCGCCCGGACCTTTAGTGCTTGTCCCATAATCAACTTGTCAGCCTCTGTCACTAGAATGGCCGTGGCAGCGAGTGCCCATAGGCAAGGCGGCCAGCCTTGAGCAACAGTGTCAAACTGCTTGGAGAAGTATGCTACTGGACGATGCCATGACCCTAGCATTTGGGTTAAGACCCTATCCCCACTCCAGTATGTTTGTGTATGTATAGGAAAAATGGCTTAGATATGTCAGGGAGCCCCATTCTAGGTACACTAACGAGGGCTTGCTTGATTTCCTCTAAGGCCTTCTGTTGTGATTATTCTCATAACATGGGCTGTCATTTTCCCCCCTTTGTGGCTTCATAGAGACGCTTTGCCAGCAGTGAAAAGTTAGGTATCCAAATTTTACAAAACCCTGCGGCCCCAAGAAATTCCCTAATCTGATATGTGGTAGTTGGAACTGGAATGGAGCAAACAGCTTTCTTTCTTTCTGGGCCAAGCTGATGTTGCCTCTGGGATAAATGGAAGCCTAGGTATTTTACCTTTTCTTGGCAGATTTGGGCCTTTTTCTTTGAAGTTTTGTAACCGACATTCCATAGGGGGGTAAGGAGCTGCTGTGTTCCTTTCATGCAGTCCTCCCGTGTTTGCCTGGCCAGCAGTAGATTGTCCACATATTGGAGCAGCATACAGTTGTACTGATCTGCTGGGGAGTCCTTTAAGTCAGAGGCTAGTGCTGTATCAAAAATAGTTGGGAAATTTTTGAAACCGTATGGCAGTCTAGTCCAAGTCAATTGGCTTTTGTCACTGTTATCAGGATTTTCTGATTGAAAAGCAAAAATCAGCTGACTGAGGAGTCAAGCAGATGCAAAAGAAAACATCTTTGAGGACTAAACAGATAAAGTAGGCGTCTTCGGCGGGATTAAGACTTAAGAGAGTGTAGGGGTTGGGGACAATCAGGTATAAAGTAACAGTGGCTTCATTTACTACCTGAAAGTCTTGCACTGGCCTGTAATCATCTGTCCTCTGTTTCTGAACTGGCAGTAACAGTGTATTCCAGGACGACTGACAGGGCCAGAGGATTCCGTATTTTAAAAGTCTCTCCAGGTGCTTTTGGATCCCAACCTGTGCCTTGCAAGGGATGAAATACTGTTTCTGATGGATGGGCACAGCCCCCGACTTTAGTTTCATTACTACTGGGAGTATGTTCTGGGCCAGTCCAGGGGAACTATTCTCAGCCCATACCTCAGGCACCTTGAAGGGAAGTTTAGGTTCTTGCCGTGGCTCCTCTGTGAGACTATAGAGACACCACTCTTCCCCTCTGGGGACTGTAAGAGTCATGATTTTTGCTTCAGGACTCCCCAGGGACAAAGCTGCCTGGCCACTGGAGTAGAAGGTTATTTGGGCTTCCAGCTTTTCCAAGAGGTCTCGGCCCATTAAAGCCACAATCCAGGAGGTACAGAAATTCATGGACAACTTCATGGCCCCCTAGATTGCATCGCCGTGGCTCCCACAATGGTAGCTTGTCTTGGTAAAAGAGGGCCCCACGGGCTGGGTTACTACAGAATGTTCTGTGTCTACCATGAAGTCAGGGGGCCGGCCCCCTCAGTCATTTGGACCATAGGCTCCCAGGACCTAGTAAAATGGCACCTGGTCTGTCCTAGTCTTCCTCATAATTTTCCATGGCAGCCAGGCCACAAAATGATCCTCAGGGGCCACGTATGGTTGGGGTGCAGACTGGTATTGTCCCTGAACCACCTGGCCTCTCTCTCTCTTCCCTGAGGAGCCGGATGGAAGTCTTCCAGCTCTGGACATTCATTTTTCCAGTGCCTCTCTTGGAAGCAGTGAGCACATTGGTTCCTCCCCAGTCTTATCACTGGGTGGGGCATCCCTTCTTGCTGGCCTCTCTGCTTGCCTCAACCTGAGCCTCAGCCTGGTGGGGCAGCTCCCCAGGTGCATTGGTCTGCCAAAACAGTGGCAATCAGGTCTACTTTCTTTTTCATTTTCCTGTCTGCCTCCCTCCGGGCCTCTTGGTCTTGATGAACAAATATCTTTGCTGTGACTTCTATCAGTTGGCTAGCATTCATCCCAGCAAAGCCTTTTAACTTCTGTAATTTGTGCTGGATGTCTTCCTGAGCTTGGCTTACAAAGGCTGCATTAATCATTTGCTGATATTCAGCTGCCTCTGAGTGGAAGGGCGTGTAAAGATGGAATGCCTGGCATAGCCTCTCATAAAACTGGCTGAGGCTCTCTTCAGGGCTTGGAGCACCTCTGAGGTTTTATTCATATTTATGGTCTTTTTCCTTCCTTCCTTCCTTCCTTCCTTCCTTCCTTCCTTCCTTCCTTCCTTCCTTCCTACCTACCTACCTACCTACCACCAAAAAGGGCCTTTTGATAATGCTCAAGCATTTGAAATCCACAGCCATCATTGGGGTCCCATTGGGGGTTTTCCTTGGGGAAATGTCTTTGGGCATATATTTGTGAGTTCAGCGTTCCCTCAGGTGTCTGCTCTTCTAGCCATTTTAAAGCAGCCTGAGTAATGCCACGACGTTCTTCAGTGGTAAAAGTTAAGAGGAGCTGGTGGCAATCAGTCCAAGTGGGCTTGTGGGTCTGAATGATGGACTGCATTAGATCAATCATGGCCTGAGGCTTCTTAGTCTATGAGGGGGTATGATGTTTCCAGTTCAGAAGGCCAGTGGTCGTAAAAGGCTGGTATATAAAAGTATGTTGCCCCCTTTGGATCTGGCTCTCTGGATTGTAGTATAGGAGCCCTCTAGTTTCCCTTAACGGTAGTTGTAAAGCCTCTTGACATCCATGGGGAGGGAGGCTGTCAGCAAAGTTTCCCTGGTGCCTTCCTGCCAGGGTGTAAGGAGTTAACATTGGCGGCTCTGGAGTAGTTAGTTGCTGCCTGGAGCAGTTTCAATGACCCTGCGGAAGGGGTGGATTCTGGG